GAAGCTGAATAACATAGTGAATAACATTAGCCTGCATAAAGGCACTGCAGCATTTGCTTCAACAGCTATAGCTGTTGCTCTCAGCTGTAACAAAGTCTTACACAGTTTACCTTGCTTTTTTCTGTACCAGTGTAATATATTGCCATACAACACACTGAGTTTTTCATTCTTCATTCTGCATTCCAGTTATCAGAAAGTTACAAAACCCAAGAGAAAACACTAGACAGCTCAATTACACAGAGGACTGGAGCCCAAATTAAATTGCTCTATTAAGTATGCATAATTGGTATGGAACAAATATTTGAGTATCAAACCGCACCACAAAACAATGGGTGAAGCCTCACATGTTCAGACTGTGCTGACCCACTGGAAGCTAACAACTAAGCCAACATCCAGGCCCCCGCCACCACCTCACAGGGGAGTTTCCAAGGCAGCAGTGCTGTAGCTCCCTGCTGAGAACTGTTCCCTCAGAATTCCACAGCCCGTTGGTATTGTATTTTGTTTTAGTGCAACTGAGATATTTCCATCTCCTTGTCTTTTTATTTTGACTTCATTTTGCCATTTATCAATCCGCTTGTAAAAACCATTTCCTTCATCACCTCAGGTACTCTCCAGCCACACCTCTCTTGCTTGCATAAAAGTTACTTCAGTTCTGACTTCCTTCTCCATTTAAAGAAAATGATAGATGGCAGGAAGAAAAAATGGAATCACCTCCACACAACTGAATTAAACTTCTCACCCTCAAGCCCACCATCGCCTTCCCTTTGGAAGCACAACTTGGCAGCTCTGCAGAATTCTGCTCGGTTCACAGAACGAATGCAGTGCAAGCACAGCAACCACAGAGCACTTAGTGACTAGCCTACCTGGAAACAACAGCAAGTCCAGAAGCTGCTACAGGAAAACACGTCTGAGGTGCTTGAAGAGACCTTTCCTTTGTACAGTCACATCTAGCCTGGGAGTCTATACTCTGAAGCCAAGCTTCCTGTAGTTTTGCTGAAGCAACCTCTCCAAACCAAGCTCCATCCACAATATGATCATGCTTTCAGCTCTTCACTGAGGCTAGAGTCACTCAGAAACAACCCTGGCTAAACTAAGGGTTAAGAAGTCACTTAGCATCCTCCAAGATTACGTTGCACACTAGATATTTTAGTATCAGCGCAACACCAATCAAAATCATCACATACCCTTTTTCTTCAGCCCCTTAAAAAACAAACAAACAAGGCAATGGACTTTCTAACAAACAAGGCTGCAGGAAGGCCATACCGCAGCATCCTCAAGGCTGACTAGTGACCTGCCAGCAGCACTGACCACAGAGCAGCGTCCTCCAGTGTAAGTTTACGGGCTTTGCTGGTTGAGTGGCAGACACTGCAGTACTGCACTTCTGTCAGTGTTACTCATGCTTGCACAGGGAGCCTTGCCAAGGTAAAGCAAATGAACACTTGACAGAAGGCCACCACAAGAAGGGCTCTGCTGATTGCAGGATACCAGAAAGCCTGTTCTGTCTTTAGTTCCATCAAGACGCGAACTGCTCTTGACAGTTAAAGTTAGACAGAAAACTTTATAGGAAAAATACATTTTTCATGTAGAGGACTATTCTGCCCTTGAAAGTTACCAGCAGTTCTTCTCCTATAAACTAAGCAAAATTTTAGCTTATTAACACATAGCTTCACTACATCCTTTTGTGTGTTTATGCACATTTGAAAATATGACTCCATATAAAATGGAGGGAAATCTAGATGGGCACATTACATTTATACAGTTAAGATGTGCCAAACACTACACAGTGATACCGAGGGAAACATTTAGTCTTCGCTTTTGGTTTAACAGAACTTCTCCTGTGGCATTTTTTCCTCAAATAAAAAAAAGTCATTTCAATTTAAATAACATACCAAAAAAAAAAAAAAGACCCCATTTATAGCTTCTGCTCATTAAAACCAGACAATTTAAACAGCCTCTTTTTTTAATTCAAAAGACAAAATTAGATTTTTTGTGTTCATCTATCATTCAGAGCAACCAGGACATAAACAACTTGGCTAGTCAACTCAGTGAAAACAAAATTATTCTAAAACTATTCAAGGCTTGCTTTGACACCCCATTCAGACCATGCATTATTGCTATGGCAGTAACAGCGAGAACAGCTCTTGCCATAAAGAATTGCCCAATCATTCGCTTATAATACTAAATGAGGTTTGGTTTATATGCACATAGAAGTTACCTGCTCTAGCACGCATACCAGGCAGCTAGCCGCTATTAACTCCTTCTACAGTGCTGCCTGTCATCCAGGTTTTAATTAATTGTGAGATCAAGAGGAATGCAGGAAGGCAGGAAGAGCTCCTTCCCAACGAAGCCACAGGCACCCAGAGCCCCTCACCCTGCCCTCCGTGGCCCCCACCAGTATCGACCCATGGCAGCGCTTGGCTGCTCTCCTTGCCAGTAGCTGTGCCTCCTCAGCCGCCTGTTGGTAAAGACTGTCAAGAACCTGGGAAACTCAAAAGAAATTACATCTGACAGCTCTCCCTGGTTCCCTGTTTTGTTGCTACAGTGAAAGAATTCCAATAGATTAGCAAGTGCATTTTGCTTCACAAAAACAGTGCTAATTTACTGCCATCAAACCATGATCTAGAGAGGATTAATGCTCAAAGAAAATGAACCAGTTAGTTCACTCTGGCATTATAAAGGCGCTTGATAGGCAGCAATGCCAAACAATTTTGTTTAAAGGCACAGAGGTTAAGTTAATGCTTATTTTATGTATAGAATGACTGATTTTGTGAGACCGCATTAGTGCCTTGCATACACAGGAAAGGATGACAAGGACAAGAGAGCAACAAAGCTGCGGCCCATTCATTTATCACCCCAACAGACAGCCCTCACCAAAGGGAATCAGCACATAAATATACCTACCAAGGATCATTTCACCTATTTAGGGACTTTACACACCAAATTAGATATCAGTTCTCTTAGATCTCAATACCTCCACTTATTTTTTGCAAAGCTTAAAGGTCCTCTAGCCAATATATTCAGCTGGAATAGGCCAAGGCTCAAAGGTTAATAGGGCACAATAAAACTATTAAAAAGTATATTTGTAGCCCTTTTTATAGGGCTCATTCTTCTTTATGAGATCATACTACAAGCCTACAGGTTTCTGTATGCCAACAGCTCCAATACTCTGGAGATGCCATGGCCCAATTCCACTCAAAATAATATTTTGACCCCTCAACCAGCAGTCTAGTTATGTGATTACATGCTTCTTCTCTAGTTTAAAAACACATATATGTCACTGCAGCTGCTGCTGTTCAACAAGTCTTACATATCACCAGTTCACCAAGACCTCCTGAAGAAAAGACAACAGCCACAAAAAGCATCACCTCGAGCCACAGCTGCATGTATCTTCCTTTTGTGCACCTCGTGTAATCGAGGCACCACTGGAAGGGAAATCGAGACGTTTGCCGCATTCCTAAAGCACCTCAGAGTGCCCCACTGAATAACATCCTGCTTTCCTGGGCTCCTTTCAAAATGCAGCCTCAAAACCATAGAATCCCACCTGGCACTTTTATAACAGAACATGCAAGAACCTGTAATGTGAACCAGAAATTTCATCAGCAACGTATTCTCAGCCACAGCGATTCCCACTGATAAAGAACAGTACAGCTTTGGGAACAAGTAGAAAATTGGATGATGGATCAAATATCCTGCAAACTACTGCTCACATTTGCATGAACGTGTGTCTGTATTTCAAACAGAGGAAATCCTGGGTAGATGTATTATTTTTTTTATTGACTGATGACATCAGTAAGCCATTTCCCTTAACTGCGATTACTTGATTTTATGACATCTTATACCTTATATAGCAGTGTTAATCCTCAGAGAGCAGTCATTAGCCTCCAAACACCACCAGAAAGAAGGCTGTATGATGTTTTAAGCATGCTTTCAATAAATATGGTCAAACAAGAAATACTAATTGGACATGAAAAAAAACACCATCACCACAGCTTCACTGCTTCTAAGAAATGCTCATTAAATGTCACTAAGTACCTCTTAGACAGTCCAAGGTACTGAGAAACTGTCTCCCATTAACTGTAAGCAAAATGATGCAACTTTTATTAAATCACTGAACAACCAACAGCAGGCAGAACAAGCATTTGTCTGCAGAATTATTTTTGAGCTCACCAAGCATATGGCAACTTATGTAGACAAAGCTAGTTGTTTGAAGCTATAAACATATACTACATTTAGATCTTCAGTTTCAAGTCACTAGACATTTGTTCCCTCTGATTTTTTTTTTTTATTTTTTTTTACAACAATAAAACAGCTAAGTGTTATAAATTATTACAGCAGAGAGGGGGATGAATATAAGTCACCAGTTTCTCAAGCTAATTTTTTCTGATAATTATAATAACATTAAAAGGGACTTGTTTGCATCTATTCCTTTACCTAGAAAGGACACCTGTCTCATTTGAATCTAATGTTACAGATGTTATAGCTTGTGAGACTAATAACTAGTCTACTTAAATTTTCATTAACAAATCACAGAAACTCCTCCTGAAATGCAACACATTTGGGACAGCTGTTATAGTCATCATAGGGTTTGTCCGTTTATTTTATCACACATTCAACCACAACATTCGAATGACTCTTTAAAAGACTCAATTCTAAGCAGAGAAGAAGATCAGACATTTTAAGTGGCATTAAAAAAAAGATGTCATTCTCATTCCTTCACCAATATTTTCATATAATAAGAGGAAAAACAAAACTGCTTGAAAAAGTTTTTAAGTTCTACATCAGCTGCCAGGCTTCTCTGATTATCTTCATGGCTACGGTCATGCTTTCCACCTCTGGTCCCCAGATTGGAGAGCTACAACACCTACAGGCAGATGTGTTTCATTTAAGAATATTCAACACACACCTCATTTGCCACAGAGCCAAGAAATTAGAATGTAGCATTAGTTATTTGAAAAGACACAGCAAAAAAAGCAAAGGTAGTGTTTTCATTCAAGCTCTACCTTATCTTTGTCTTCCACAACATCTGCCAGCACATCGTCAGGGTCCAGGATTCCTCCATCTGTATACTCCAGGTGGTGAATATTCACCCAGTAAGTTGGATCCTGTAAGAGAGAACAAGTTTTCTCAACATAACCTCACAAGTTTTTATTGCCAACAGACAAAGCAGCTCTGTATCCCACCTCTTTGCCACCAAAGTGCATGGAGCTTCTCCTAAAATAAAAAATTACTGAAAAAAGAGGAAATTAAAACTGCAGACATAGGACTACCCATAAAATACTATGCAAAAAACTTTTAGAATGTACATTTACATTGCCTTACACACTTGGACTTCTAAATTAAATACTTAGCTATTGGACAGTGCTTACATGGTACCAAGATCTTTTCAGCTGCTTATGCTGCCCTGCCAGTGAGGGGTCAGAGGGGACGGTCAGGACAGCTGACCCCAATGGAGTGAAGGGATATTCCATGGCACGAGCCATGGCACCCAGCAAAATAATGCTGGGAGAAATAAGGAGAAAGGAAGGGCTGTTCAGCCACACACACAGCTGTTGCTGTGCCTGTTCCACTAACCTCAAAGCAGTTTTCTCACTTCTACCTTTCCACTCCTCTTTGCAATCCCACCAGGGGGAATGAGAGAGTGGCTTTGTGAGGCTCAGCTGCCTACCAGGGCTAACCCACAACCCTTTTACCCCCCCATGCTAGTTGGAGGGTTAGGTATTTATGTGGCTGGATGACAGCCACCCGACAAAACACACAGAACATCCCTATTTTATCTAAAATTTACCTTTAACTGCAGTTATTTCATTTTGCACTGAAACCACTCATTTGTTAAGCAGCAAGATATTTTGGTGTTGTTTTGTTGGTTTTTTGTTTTGTTTTGTTTTTTTAATTCTAGGTATCAAGCATTCAAAACTCTAGGTTTTAATAGCACGTTCTCATCCCTGCAAAGTGATGACACAATCAAATATTGCAGCTCAACACTCTACTTTAAAGCTCGTGATTTAATTATTTTTCTGTACCCACTAAATTCCTAAGATCAAAAGGTAGAGAGAAAATGTATCTCTGTGCAACGAGCATGCATGTTAACTTAAATCCAACAATTTACTTCATGCTCAAACCTTGTGAGTGTCACTTGACCCTACCAATAAACCCACTATGCTACTAGTTTCTCTCAAATTAGAATGTATACCAATAGCTGCAGACATTCCTCCTGAACCTTTTAACTAATGCAGTCACAAAAGGTGTTCAGAGATATTAATACTGAACCAGCATACTTGTTAGCCACAGAAGTTTGTCTAAGAGGAGTGAGTTTTATTTTTGCCTAAAAATACACTACAACCTGTTGTAAGTATTATGCCATTCAAGAGTCCCATACACAGAATAGAGCTGATGTGAAAGAAAAAAAAAAAAAAGAGCTGATTGGAACGTTTCATTTTCAGTGTTTGCTTCTATTTGGGATTCTGTGGCTGTACCAACCCAGATGTGTCTTTGAAAGAGAAACAAAGGAAAAAAGAGAAGTGTAAAAGCTGCATTGTCCTAGTAGAATGCAGCAAGTTGGCAGGAAACAAGCTCAAGACAAAGGGCCACCCTAAATTCCATCGAGCTTAATGAAATCCCAATCTTCCTTTTACTGTGGGCCACAACAAATACAGCAATTTAGTGCTTTTGTTAAAGGCCACGTGATGAGAAAGTGAAGTCTAGATTAGTCTGCGACAGAGGAGACGTCGCTCCTCACCAATGCTGAAGCAACTAGCAGCTTCAGGAACCACTTTAATGGAAAGGAACAACAAATCACACTAGAATGCGAGAACTAAAGCAGAACAAGATGCACGCGGTTCCTTTAGCAGAAGAGCACTTCCCAGCTAGGTGCTGTTCCCCCACACTCCGACCCAGACACCACACACAGCCACCTCAGCTCTGGACTCACGGTCTGCCAGAGACAGCAGCCACCAGAACGCAGCACTGCCCAGCCGCCCTTCACAACCCCGCTCCACATCAGTACTTCTTTAAGCTTAGCCAGCACTTCATCCCTGAAAGTGAGAAAACAGCTACTAGTGCAGGCAGAGAGAGCTTATCCTTATGGAGTTTGATGACGCAAATAGTAACTACTTGTAGATAGGCTCGATGGAGCAAGTTAGCACACAGCCTCTGTGCAGTTGCAGACAGAATTCCTCTGAGCAGCACAACCCTCACCCAGTCCAAAGAGACTTGAAAGCCAGAGGACAGTGCACAGCCCCCCAGAACACTGTCCAGATTAATACATCTAAATGAGGACTTAAGCTCCCGGTGCCAACAAAACCAGACCTTAAGCTCACCTCATTAACCAGCTTCGATCACAAACGTTCTGCACGCATAGAGGCCCTTTCTTCCACAGGAAAGGGCAATCCGTGCACAGTTTATTACACGCTGCCAGACATTTCTTCTGCAAATGCAGTTTTTTCGTATCTCATACCTGCTTTGCACTGCCTTCCATAACTGCAGTACTTAGTGTATGTACGCTCTGCATAAAGTAGGGAGAGCAAAGAATCCAGCTACTAAGAAGGCACCTGGCTTCAAATCCACATATCTGCTGTATACCTACTCCTGCACACTCTCCATGACATGAATGGGAAGGAATGTTACTATGCTGCATGCAACCTCCATACAAAATGTTAATTAAGGTACACAACATAAATATCATCTAAATATTTAAAGGAAAAACATGAACGAGTCACTTGGTACAATGCACACCAGCACTTCCTACATGAATATTAGACAGTTACAGTAATGTGCATTTTACCTTAAGGCTGCAAGTCATGTCTGTGTTCAACATCAAGCCACTTAAAAGCTGTTCATCATCATTTCCTTTATATGTGGGAGAACACTTTAGAAATTACTATGCAAATATTTACCAGAAGATAAATTAAAGCCAGGTCACATGAATGCACATGTACAATGTAGGTAGAAGTGACAAATTTAAAAAGTGGACTTAATGTTTGTGTTGTCACAGAATCTGAACTGTTGTCACCATACACAGTGCCTTCAGTGCTTACATCTAAAATAAATTCAGTAATTCTTCTATGCATTTGTTTCAGTCAAGAGTAAACATTCAAGTGAAAGATCAATTGCTCTAAGATACTCCCATTTGCTTTATTATTGAAATACACAGATAAAAACATAGTTAATATATCAAAAACTCGGGAGGACCATCTTGATTCCTTTCCCACACCCTGGAATTTAGATAATCAAGTGTCTACTTTCCTGAGAACTAAGCAACGTACTTTACAGATGTTGATGCTTATATAGCATATCTCAGTATTCTTTCACTCATTAAGACTAACAAGTTTAAGCACGTTTGTGCTGGTCCATCATAAAAGACCACCACCTACTGATCTCACAGTTCATCACTGTACAGTGCTGTTACCTGTCTTTAGCAGAATACAATCTCTAACCTGAAGTTTCTTAATTCGAATATGAAAAAGACAGGACATACTGAAAAAATGCAGAAGTAAGGGAAAGAGTCAGAAAGACTCCATTATTATTTCTCAGGTTATTTCTCAGGCTGGCATTTTAGAAGCACCTCTACATTAATGTTTCACTAGGGCAATTTGATTCCAGCGAAACACAGCATGAAAAAGGAGGTATAAAAAAAAAAAAAAAAAAAGTCACTTTAAAGCTGCTCCACAAGCACAGAGATAGAATGAGTACCAGGTCAAAGTCTGAAGGCAAACAATGGAGTGTGGCTATGGTGCTTTCTGCCATTGAGACAGCTTTAAAATAGAGATTAAGAACTTGCAATCACAATATACTTCCTCATGAAGGGGACAATTTTCAGATAATGCCAATGAGAAAGAGAGAGAGAGAGAACGTTCTACCATTTCATCATTTTATATTGTACATATACTGCCATGTGATCTATTACATCCCAGCACATAAGTAGCTGATGATTTCTATGAGCACAATAGGCTAGGTGATGCAGCACCCAACACTCACAAATCACAGCAGGAAAGCTGACTACAAACGAGATGAGGAGGGTGGCAGCTTCAAACCTAGAGCAACCCAGCAGTTGCTTGTTTGCATCTCACAAGCACTCCCAACCAAGCCTGATGAGTCCCCTGCTCAGCATTTCAGCCAACCACCAGCAGCGGGGCCCCTTCACCACTCATACCAGAGGTGGGGTTTCTGTTTCATGGGAACATTACTACAGAGTTCCCAAAAACCAACAGATGATCAGTTAAATTCCAATTTAGAACCCTTCAACAGTAAGAGCATTCTGATTTGATACTGAATCTGAATAAGAACTAATCACTAAGAACGTCCCACTACCTAAACGTTTCTGAATACAATACAATGTAAAGACAACGTTACAGGGCTGAGGGGTCACATAACTCACACCCTTCCACTGCACTCCAACATCGAACACTTAGGAAGTGTATTTCAGTGGAGAACAAGCATGCAGAACAAAAACAGACAAAGCCCTCTGGATATATACGTTTAGAAAAAGATGTCTACTAAGGCTGCAGCTGTAAGAACTATGGCAAAATAGCCCCAGCTGAAACTGAAGTGCTTGGTATGCCAGACTTTGAATTAAAGACAATCTGGGAGAATGTGATTAAGAAATGCAAACAGATTTTTCTTTATAAACTAATGTCAAGTTAGTTGAGAATTTTAGTTCAAAGCATTCAATACACCTATAGACAGTAAAACCTCAGGGCTGGCTGTAAATTCATACAGCTCAGCTTGTTGCTAACTCTACACTGAAATATGCCAGATCCTGAACAAAATGTGATGAAGCGCTCAGCAGCTACAAAGAGAGCAGACACCACTTCAGTCCTGCATCTAGATACTATCTGAGATTATTTTATTTACAACTGTTTGGCTTTCCTTTGTTGAAGTGATTAATGCATTCGCAGCTGCCCCAGGACTGCTTAGCAGGAGCCCTCAGAGTTCCAAATGTGTGACTGAGCAACAGCAGACTCCAATCCCCACAGCACAGAATACAAATGCCAGTGAGACAATACAGATCAGGTATGATTACATCCTCTAACACTGTATCATATACACTGAGCTTTAGACAAAGCTCAAGTAAGGGAAAAAGCCAGCAGTAAATTACAGAAGTGTA